GGATAGCTGGATCCAAAGATGGCTTCTTCAGGAGGGGTCTCACCACCGCCGCTTTCAGTGCGGCGGGGAAGTTTCCCTCCCGAAGTGAGGGGGGGACAACCCCCTGGATCCAGCCTCGTGTCACCTCACTGCAGTTAGTAACTAACCATGAGGGACACGGATCCAGTACACAGGTGGAGGTACTTACAGCCCTCATGGCCTTGTCCACATCCCCGGGGGTAACGTCTTGAAACTCAACCCAGAGTTGTTCAAATTGATCCTCCTGTGCCTCGGCTGGAGCTGCAGGGGGGGAGTCCAAGTCCGACCGAAACCGAGCAATTTTGTCCGCTAAGAATTGGGCATACTCTTCGGCTCTGCCCTGCCCTTCTAGTAAAGAAGAATCTTTACTAAAAGCCCACAGCAATATTCCCAGAGTGTTTATGGAACACATCTCAACATTTAAGATACTTCTTGAGGTTATAAATCAAGGGTTTCCAACCTTGGCAAGTCTAAGTCTTGTAGACTTCAACTCCAAGAATACTTCAACCAGACATGCTGGCTGGAAATTCTGGGAGTTGAAGTCCACAAATCTTAAAGTGCCAAGGTTGGAGACCCCTGTTTCAGATAGCTTTGGTGTTCTGGAATGTGCTCACATTTTTTTTAAAAAGATGCAGTTGACAAAGCTTTGTAGAAATCAAATGCACCCTTCCAGTGTTTTCTTGGCAGGCATTTGTGTGGCTTTTTTTAGAGTGCTGCAGGATACAAAAATGCAGCTTGACATCTGATTAATCCCTTATATGAGAGTCCCACCCAACAAAACTAAGGAGTTAAAGAGAGATTTGCCTTGTTTATCTTCTATAAAGCCTGCATACCTTTTATTCCATACTAGCTCTCATAGAGCAACAGCTGTTTAAGAAAATTAGTGCAAATTGCCTCACAGTTTAGAAATAAGAGAACCGCCTTAGTGCAGTGATAAAAAAAAAATACAAAATAGGAAAATATCCAAATGTGCTGCAGACTATTAGTTTCATTCTCAAAAATAACACATTTAAGAGTGTCAGATACATGAGGTAATGTCCTTTTTTTAGCTCTTGGAATGGGATGTAGAATTTCTTCACTCATTTTGCAGTTTTTCAGAAGAACAAAATTATCCCAGAAAAGGGCTGAAAGGTTGAACATATTGAGACATGTAGAGAGAATAAAATTGATTTTCTACAGTATATTTTGATTTTTTTCCCTTCACTGTCCTGCATCTTATCTGTCACATGGAGAACAAGGTCATTTACCTGTTGAGGGTTTTGATTCTATTTGTATGGCTTTGGTACTTAAAGGAATGGATAACATGCCTTTAAGTTCTGATTCATTTAATTGTGATGCAAGAACTGTTATTTTCACCAGGGGTGGGTTTCTGCTGGCGTTACTGCCGGTTCAGTGCATGTGCAATTTGTCTGCAAATAGGTCTGTGCATGCGCAGAACATTAAAAATGTCAGAAAACCATGCTGCAGCAACCGGGCAACCGGTTTGGGGGTTTGGCGAGCCTGCTGTCCCTATCAGTTCAGCGACCCAGTCACAATTTCCACTACCAGTTCACCCGAACCGGTGCTAACCGATAGCAACCCACCTCTGATTTCCACAACTTCATACAAAGCAATCCTTTTCCCTACTCTGGAAAATCTCACCTGTTTATAAAATAATGTATAGGATATCAACAGTGAGATGAAGAATGAGGACAGAGGCAAAATGTTTCCCCATTCAGGTGATGCAGACAGTTTCACAGGTGATACATTAAAATCACCTATCATTGCTTGCCAAGATGGGGAGGGTCCTCCTTCCTCGTGCCTCTTCTTGTTAAAATATTTTAAACTGCGGTTGGCAGCTGCAGTTTTCATTGTCAAATAAGTTTATCAGCTTTCCTCTGAAATAGCAGATTGGAGTACATCCTAGAACATTTGGCCTTCAAGAAATTGCTTAACAACACCCAGCTTTTCTTATTATTGGCCAAGGCTGCTGGGGTTTGTAGTTCAGCTAGGGAGGGAGAGAGGAAGGAAGGAAGGAAGGAAGGAAGGAAGGAAGGAAGGAAGGAAGGAAGGAAGGAAGNTGATAAGGAGGAGAACCTTGTCGCTTAGTGGTTAACACATCTGCCTAATATGTAATACAGCCCAGATTCGAATCCCAGTAAGGGTATGGCTAGCTGATGAGAGCTAAATAGCTTGAAATAGATCTATACTAGTCTCCCTTTATTTATTTATCAGCACAAATACACCAGGGATTGACACACTAATTACATACCTATTTCCCTGGCTCAGCTGATAAGGAGGAGTATTTAGCATCTTACCTTAAGTTATTTCATCAATGAACAATTCTTTCTCGCTCTCTCTCTCTCCCTCCCTCCCTCCCTCTCTCTCAATCCTTATAGTTTTTTTTAAAGGCATAAACCAAACACTGGTGTGGTACTCATTCTCTTTCATTGTTTTTTCATGTTGTCACATTTCTAGATAATACTTAGCTCCATGCATCAATATATGCTCCCAAAGACACCAAGATAGGCATTTATTCTAATGCAGGTGGTTTTTTTCAACTAGTAAAATAAATCACGTATACCTACATGTATTTATACTCAATGGAAATAATCATATGTCAGACAATCCTCACAAAATCACAGAGTATTATTTTCAGTAAAAATTCTACTTAGAATACTTAGTACTCACATTGATTACAGTCTAACTAAGTTTTCCTACTGCTAGTACTTAAGGAATTCTCCATGAATGTTACCAATGGAATTTACTACAAAGTTCATTTAAACGGTGACAAAATAACGTATACTGTTGTGAAAAAGTATTTTGAAATATAGTTATTGATTGTCATAATTTGCTGATAAAAATTCCTGGATTAACACACAAAATCCACATATTGCAAATCGTAAACTAGGAATAAAAAGATACTTTCAAATAACCAAATGTCCAAATACATGACTGGAGCAGCACTTTTTTGTGTTTTGCATTCTGTATCAATTACTCTGAAAATCTGCTTTCAACAATTTAGTGAAAATACCCACATCAAATCATATATTCCAGAATATAAACAACTTGAAACAGAATATCACATCAAAGCAATTGTAAGGCATAGCCAAATCATGAAGATGCAAAAAAGCAATTATCTTTTAAAAATTCATATTATCAAATTATTTAACTTTTTAAATATTAGACTTACCTAGTTTTAAGAAAATCCACCACACGTTTGAAATCAGCTACACAATATTCTCTCTTCATGTCCATCAATACGCTATCAGAAGCGGATTGAACTGGTACATGTAGAAAAGAGTAGACTCTCGGGTGGTTGAGAATTTTTGCCATTTCCTAGAGACATGAAAGTAACATCAGTAATATTTTTACACACTAGTAAATACACCCTTAGTTCTACGTATTTCCAGCATTTAAAAAAAAAATGTGATGTACATATTTTTGAGTAAGACAGTCAAGGAGGATGGCACCAGACGCTCACAGTTGTCTAATTTGCAGTAAAAATGTATCCCCTTGTTCATTAGAAGATTGATAATCTGATGCAAAGTAAAATGATAGAACAATAAAATAAAATAATAAAATAAACAAAGAAAATGCATCAATATGACTAGTTAAAAATAGATGGGTGAACAGAACAGAACTCCCATTGAGTCAGAAACTTCAGCTTCTGTACATATTGATTGCCAGCATAAATGTGGAATGTAGGATGCATAGAACATAAAATGATGTAGCCCTTCTTTGCTTATTTACTGTCACAGGAATATGTAAACAAAAACCTTTTATATTAGAGTGCTTTCCAAATTGCCATGAGTTCCAGCTAATTGCTGCACCATGTGACATCCACAGTTTTGTGGAAGTTTCCAACAACTCATGAAAGGATGCCAATGGCTCCGTGGAGAGGAACAAATGAAAAACTCAAATTTGCAAATAAAATTCTCATGATAGAAATCTGGTTCGGAACCATAATACACCATTCAACAATAACACTTCCCCATTGTAACCAAGGAAATGAGTAGGAAGTTCTTACACATTTACTTCACAAGAATAGGCTTATATTAACAGCATGAAAGGCCTACTAAAATGAATGGGTACAATATGAATATCAGGAAATGGAATTTTTATCACTGACTTATCTATTTAATTATTCTTAACTAAAGAATGAGAGGAACTGCAGCTTTGAAATACTGGTCTGATTCCGACATAACATTTAGCCTTAAGGTAAATTTGGAAGAGTGTGAAATGCAAACTTGTTATGGCTTATAACAGAGCTGTCAAACTCCTGGCCCACAGGCCAGATGTGTGGCCACACCCATGCCCAGTTTAGCAAATGGGAAAAAAGTCCCATACATTATGTGACGCTGCCGTGACGACGTGAGCTTGACATCCCTGGCTTATAATATAAAGTATTATAAAGTTTTAAAAGTAGTTTTGTATAAACTGGACCAAAGCATTTTAAAACTGGTATGAAAAATGAAAAAGGCACTACAGAGAATGCACGGTGTGCAAGCAACTTTACCACTGTACTACTAAATAATTGAGTTTTTGTACAAGAACCAAGAATAAGAAAGAAGAGATTAGCTTTTAGGCTCTGTGTCAGGGCATGTTTAAAGAAGCCATCTGTAAAGTTATTTGCTCAAATGAAACTACAGATCACAAATGCTCAGCTGATAGGAATCAAAGAAAGGGAGAGCTAAGGCATTTCAAATTCTTCAAAGGGGAAAAAAAAATACACAGCATACAAAATTCCTCTCAATGGTCAGGGTTTCATTGGAATAACCTGAATTAATAAGGAAGATTAAAAAAAAAACCACAGATGGCATATTGCACACTTTGAGCATGACTCATCTTGACAGGTGACATGGAAGCCTATGCATCTCATCATGTGCAATTAAGCGTTTAAAAAGGCACTGGCAGGTGTCAACAACTTCTTTAAAATACAGACTTTTGTATATTCTCTCCACACTCAGAAACAAGGTGCAAACATAGCCCTAACCCCCCCCCCAACGAAAAACAGAAAACGTCTATGATAGAAATCAAGTGATTTCTGAAGGAAAAGCAATATAATCAGCAGAGTCAAATTTACCAATAGCATTTTTTCAACTGTTCAAGATAATTGATGATGATTAATTAACGGCTTTTAAAAAAATGTTTATTGTGCAAATGCACTTTTGATTACTCACAATGGCTTCAAGGCAACTCTTCCTATTATTAGAGTCTTGCACTTTCTTTAAGATCAAAATCAAAAGTTGTATTAAGAAGAGAATTCCTAAAACATTCTAGAAAACCTTTGGGTGATCAGAGAAGCAACCCCCATTAGCTCTCATCCACAAGCTGGGTTCGCAAATTTTATAGTAGAGGGGGATTTTTTTTAAAAAAAA